CTTAAAATACTCACTTCTAAACGTAGTTAGAATTTTATTTAATTTTTGATCATAACTCTTCAGCTACCTAGATCCGCAGAATAGAGAATGTAAACAAAAATAAAACGCCATTCCATTTTAAAAAATGAATGCGAACTCCTTTGTCTCTCTAGCAGTCGCTCCAGAAAAATGTATCACACACCAAATGTTCGTTTCCCTTGTCCCATTTCATTGAAAAAACATAAAGTCGATATCTGCAGTGATGTTAAAGAAAACAGTTTGTAACACTTCATTTGGCCCACCCGATATGAGCACGATTTCACCCGCGTAGCGAGTCAATAACTTTGTTGTACTGATGGGCACCATCGACTAAAAACTATCAACTAAGTCGATAGTAACCAACGACTACTGTCAGTCGACTAATTTTTTCAATCGTCGACTACTTTAGTCGCTTGAAGCGACTACTTTAGTCGATTAAATTTAGTCGCTTCAAGCGACTCGCTGGAACTATCGAGCTATTGATCGCTATTGACTGGATCTTGATTACTTTCTTCGCGATGCAAACAAATTGTAATTTTTCCATACATGTTTTTATGCATTACCAAGAACTGTGCAAATTATTGCTTATAACCTAATTGATTTTCATAAAAAACTTAGAGCAGTTAATTTCTTAAGTGCCAATATTAAATAGCTTACAAAAAATCGAATATTAGTAATTGTTTAAAAAAACTTGTGTACCACTTATAATTTTGAAATTCTATCTATGAACTAATACATTTCGAAAAGGTAAATACACCAATGGCACCATTTTTGCGTGGCCGATACAAGATCAGGTTGCTTCTATCTGTTTCGAATAAAGAGAAACATAAATGATTATTAATCTATACGAGTGATACGCTAGTTTAGATTAAAATGTGCGAGAAGGGTCAAGAATCCCAATACGCAAATATGTCGTTTCCTGTCTCGCGTCGCCTTCGCAGGAGCCCGCGGCTGCCCGCCACTTGCCCGTGCGGGCAACATGCCCGAGCGGGCTCGGTTGCTCATCACTGCGGTACAAGAACCGCTTCCTCTTTTGTGACTAACGGTTCTGTACAAGAGAACCGGAATTCCTTAATTTTTGCAAGAACCCGTTGTACTCCAATTCTAGTTATAGACAAGGTTCGCGCCAAACTTCGGAGTGTATCGAACGTAGAAAATGTTTTCTTTTCTTTTAATTTAGAAGGTTTGGCCTATTTGAATAATATTTTTTTAAATTGAGACACCATTTTTATGACTTGGGAAATTACAAATAAATTTATGTTTTGCAAATTCCTCTCGGAGGCTGGGGTATCGATAAATTTGAAAACATTCGTCCGTATTCCTTGAAATCCTAAGCTTAATAGTTAACGAAATATTTACAAAACAATTTTTATTACGTACTTACTATCTGGAAGTTACAGGTGCTCGAACTGATGCCCCTCAATTTGAATACAGCGATTTCAATATATCTATCTACATATATATACATATATATATATATATATTATTCAATAAGATTAAAGTATTAAGTAGCGAACCCCAACTATACATGTACATCCATAGTAAAGCAAGTGAACATTTCTACAATCGCAAGTTTGGAGACCGAACCCCGAAAAAATCTCTTTCGTAAATCCCACCGAAACGCCATCCCTCTCCATCCTCCCCGGAAGTTTATTTACCCGACACGCCCCCCTCGTTCAAAAATCATTTAGCCAGGCGGTGAACCCTCGGTCGATCTAACCGTGGATCCGACACGAGTTGCCGTCGTAACAAGGCCGCCGACACAATGAAAGAGATGTTCAGAGGCGGCTGGATGCCAGGCTTGCCCATTTACGCGTCCCATTGGCGTACACAGACTCCGTCAAAAGCCTCCGGAGGGGGATGTTACGGGGTGAGCCGACCACATATATTACACCGGTGGCTGGTGTGCTATAGAACAACGACTTGCGTCCACACAACAATGCCGCCCGTACGTGTACGTACAAGGAGGCATGCGTGTCACCATATTGAAAGGGAACATCGAGTTTAGACAGGGGTTTGAGGGACTCGATCTATACCTTCCAGGCGTTGCTTCGCAGTTATGTTGGCAACGTGTAACGCTCCCTGCAGGGTGCCTTTTCGCTTGACCAGCTGCCTACCGGATCGTTTACCGAGCCGAGCGTTCGACATGTTCGGTATGTAAACTGTGAATTAGCAGAGACTTCGATGATTGGCCTCTGTGGACCAACCGGCCACTTGGTGGTGAAGATTTTCGAAAGAGACTTTGAGGGGAGGGTTGAACCCGTGTCAATCGTTGATGAATCGTTAATATCAATCTTCACTTTATGCATGCACAGGCGTCAACAATTATAATTTTGTTTATTACTGCGATCGTTCAGGGATTAAGCGGAATTTGTATTTAAAGAGTATTTTATAGAAGCCTTAGGGTAATTGTGAGATATTATGACATTTTATAAATTCGATAAAAAAGAAGGATCTGAGACTTTAGGGGATTGTTAGTACAACAGTCATCACCATAACAATGATAAACAAATATGAGAAATAAATCCCCGAGGAATCATAGGTAATATGTACAAGGTAAAATCTTTCGTTTACCTTGCTACTGATGGCGGAAGTTGGTTTGAAAATTTATTTTAAAATATTTCTTAAATAAATACATAATTTTTGGTATATACATATATTTTGAAATGAAATAGTTACGTGTAACGGACATTCAGCAATCAGTTTAAATGATTAAAACTTTTAAATCTGATAAATAATAATGATTCAACTAGTTGTTGAATAAATAGTCATTTCTGTAATGTGGTGTTTAAGGAAAAACATCTGTAATCCAACAATGAAAATTTCTTATTACAGTAACATACGTACTGTACTTGGAATACATATAATTTCAACATTGAGGTCCGTTTTCTTTATTAACCCCTTACCCTATGCCCTATAACATCGAGTCCGACTCGTGTTGACGATTTCAAAATCGATTCAAAAAAGAAGAATATTATTTGGTTTTCTTTGAGTCGAAGTGAAATGTCACGTTGCTGGCATTAATATTGAACTTTTACAGTAAAAATACAGTTGCGGTAAATACAGAATTCCTTTCGGTTCTGGGCAATTATCGACAACAATGTAATCCTGGAGTCTGCAGATCTCAAGAAAATTGGGTTAATGGCAGAATTATTTTCATATGAAAGTGTAGGCATCTTTGTATGAAAAGTAGGCTTGACTTGCTCTTAGCAGGTATAACAAAAGCAATATAAACGATGTATTGTCCCATTTCGAGAATTCGATTGTAGTAACGACATAATTAGTATAAGTTGTGTAATGTTTTTTTAAAGGTGGCGCTTGGACTTATTATTTACACCTTGTTGACTTATTATGTACACACTTTAGTGCTAGTGTTAATGAAAAACTGAAAAAGCTGTATATTAACGTCATAATGACTTCCTGAAACGAACAGTTGAAACGTGAGTATGAACCAACGAGTACGTTTCTTGAAACAAATTGAATATACATACATATCTGTAGGGTGTGAGATGCGTGAGTTTAGTTTTAGATCGAGCGAGTGCGGTGCGAGTGAAGAGTGTTTAGGCCGTGTGACAGTTTCTTCGAACGAGAGTGCGTGCTAGATAAGATTGAATGAAAGGAACTGCGTCGAACGTTGTGATCGAAAATCGACACGAGGCGAGAATGTGTGAATGCGTGTGTGAACCTATGACCGAGTGTGACCATGTATGAAAGGGGATATATAAGAGGGAAGTTAGTCAGAGCGGGTGTGTCTTACGAGCTAGACTGTTGCAAGCGTGTCCTAACGAATTCTTTATACACATTTTAGAATAAACCTTTTATTTCTACCAAATACAACCACCACTTAATATTATTCCCACATATCTTTAAATACTAATGTAACTACCAATGAAAAGAAATGATATTATAGGACCACGTAATAAATTTCCATGATTAAAATTTTCTTGGTTACTGAAATTTTGAGCCATGTATTTTTAAAATTCTTCGAATCACGTTTTTCTAATTAAAAATCTTCATTTCGTTTGGAACTTTTTCGTCTTCTGACATTTACAAGACAACCGGCTAAATTCCTAAGAAAGACAGAATTTCGTAGGAGCCTCAGTTACAATATCACATACAAGCAATGTTGGAAATGAAAAAAGACCTGAATAATGTATTGAATACGAAATCGTGCATGAGACTGAAAGGGTGGGAAAGGATATGCAAGTAGCAGCCGTAGCAAACTGCATTGAAACAGATTGATCGAAACAGACGCATCCATCAAACGCGCCTGTGCTCTCGTGACAGGAACATCCGATAGTTTGCTGGTAGAATTTTCTGTGGGGTTCGGTGCATAGTGCGCTTCATACATAGGAAACCTAATACCGAAATGTTGACATTTTTATCTAGTAATATATTCAAGATTAAATATTTTGAATGGATAAATGTACCAAAAAAATCAAACAATTTGTCAAAAATTTTTTCTCTAAAATAATTGATTTGAATATTTTAATAATAGAAATTATTGGATCTAGGAATATATAGTCAATAATATGTATTATTAAAATATTCAAATCACTTATTTTATAGAAAAAATTTTATATATATTGCATTCTTACTGTAGATATTGAATGTTATTCAATGAAATTACATATTTAATAAGGTAAATCTTACAGATGTATAATTATAATTTCCTCTTGTGTAAATCGTAATTAGACATAGTTAAACATATTTTGTGTTGTATGAAAAATTCTATAAAATTTCTAAACATTCAGCTATAACATACGATTGCTGCAAAAGTTATGATCCTTGATAAAATCTACATAGTAGATAAGAATTCAATTTAAGGAAATAAGTTGATATTAAGACTTTCACTGTCCACTTGTTAGTTATTTGTATATATTCTAAATCTTCAAAAATTGACAGATCAAATTTATACAACATAATAATAAGTTAAAATGATTTAAAAGAGGTCTCTTTAATATTAGAGTATATGCTGAAAAATGGGAATAATGGTAAAATAATGGACAGAAAATCTATTCCGATGATTCATTGGCTTCGAGTACTCTTTACAACTGACGATGAGGTGTCTGTTTGATGTTACAGACGGAAGTGGAGGACATGACGAGTGACAGCGTCTGCGAAGGCACTGGTTCGAGTCTCGGTGCCCCTGAAGCCACTGGCGGTTTGATAGGACCGGAAATGTCCCCGAGTGTGATGGAGTGTGGCGGCTGTGGAGAACGTGTCCGCGAACGTACCGTTCTCTGCGTCGGCGGTCGAACTTGGCACTCGAGGTGTCTGAGATGCTGCGCCTGTGCCAGGCCACTACACGATCAACACTCCTGCTTCCTCAAGGGAATGCGGCTCTACTGCAGGCACGACTATGCACTGTAAGCTAAAGAACTCATTATCTGTCATTTTATAGCGTGTCATCGCTAATAGTTTTCGAACTTCGGTCAACGTCACTCCCCTGGAAAATTCAATATCGACCGGAAAAATGACGTCGAAGTCCGCCGTAGACAGGTCTGAAAAGGGATATACAATATAACTTTCTTTTATCATTTTTTTGACTTTGAAAAGAAACAAAAAACACTACCATGTCATCCAAGTCCATTTTCTGTACGACACTGCATAATACTCAGTTTAGCTGTATGGCGGTGCAGAAGTTGTCTGATCCACAATGTGGACATTCAGTAGTCGTGGTGAAGAAAAATCCCATATCGGTGTTCTTTGTTCCTTTAACGGTTATTTTACTTGCATGAATCCAACGAAACCTAGAAATTTAAAAGCGTGATAAAAAGAAAGTTGTTTGTATGCACTTTCAGAGTCGTTTACATATAACGAACTTTGATGCCATTTTTCTGGTCGGTACAGAATTATCCGGATAAAGAAAACTAATTTAACATCCAGGTACCTTCCGTTGTAAGTAAAATCAAGGGCAACCAAAATTGCTATCTCTATCAGTTCTTTCTTTCCTTCAAACTTTAACTCTTATTTCTCGTACACATTTTTTTATTACATTCTAGATTTTGTATTATTTTCTAGACATTCTGTTATTTTCTAATACAGTTTAACGTAATAATTGCCACATATTGCTGATAGCCGTCATAGGAAAGCTAAAAACGAATTCTTCGGATACTGAGTACCCAAACGAAGTACCTAGACAGTGGAAAATTCTATTATGTATCGTTAATTCTTACAAATTTTATCTCATTTTAGTACACTTTCTCGAAAACGTGTGTGTTATTTAGAAATTAATACTTCCTTACCAATACATTCGAGCAATGTCTAATATTTTATACAAAGAACTGTGTATAATACATATATCGTCGCCCGAGTTCTTAACTGTTCTAACACCATTTTTCAAACAAATTTAGTTAATCAATCTACGTGCGTCTCATTGCACATGCATAATATAAAAAAAATTTAACCGAGAAAACAACAAATATTCTTTTAAGTCCTAATTCCGAAGCTTTTCTTTCTTAATGGTATTTTCAAATACTAATAATAATTAAAAATTTATGTTGATAATAAGATAAAATTTTGTTTAATATTGTAATAAATAGCAATTAAATACAACTATAATATTATACTTCGTAAACTTTACACTGAGATTTCTCAGGTTAGAAACTAGTGGAGATAGAACGATGATAAAGAAATTTCTGGTTGTGAATACGATAGTATGTATTTTTGTTTTCAAATATAATATATCTCTAACTATGCGTACGCACTGAAAGTAAATCGCGTCCACTATGTTAATAAACCTGTGAGCAATAAAAAAGAAACAACATGACCAGTTCATAGACATGTTAACGTGAATTTACACTCACCTATCGAGGAATTGATAAATTCTCGACAGGTTGTCGCGCCCCATAACCCATCGATTCATTCTTATTAATCAAGAAACAGAATTTTACAGGCCTACCAAGCGAACCACTTACTATCATATTTATTGCATCGGGAGTGTAAATGCTGCAACCATAGTTTTACGATGCTTTATTATTCGATCGATTGATCTGCCAGGATTAAACGTTACGTGGGTGTATTCACTTTCCCGTTGCGGCTTATCTCGATAATTGAATCTGTTTCGATCTTTACACTGCGGTCGCAGGAAAACGTAGATCTTTGACGGCACAGTGGCAATTACGCGTATCATATGGCAAGATTTATGTTTCTTGTCTCGCTGTTAACGTTGCTGCGGTAGCTGACGCCTTCGATTGCTACTTTGCTATGTATTAACATAATTATACGACACTCGATATCTGTATTAGTTGATATCCTCGTTTCACTTACAAGGAGTGTATTTTAGGTGTTCGCCTCCGATTGCTTTGGTTTTCGGATATGTTTTAGAGGACCGAAAAATAAGAGATACGTATTTTTTTATAGCGGCCCGTTTTCATATTTAGGGGGTGAAACCACCCCTCAAAGTTTCGACCCGGTAGTACTATCTCGAAAACCAGAGGAGATACATGAAAACTTTCAATTGGTGGCTTTCATGGTTTTTATGTACAATAAACTGGTGTTAACAAATTGTCAAAAATACAATTTGTTTATAACAAAAAAATATCATTTTGAGAACTTTTTTGGAGGAAACTACGTGTATATCTCACAAGGGAAGGCACGGAAGTATCCCCCTCCGATTTTGATGAAACTTCGTATGTCTGTTAAGCAGTCAAAAATAAAGGACACGTATTTTTTTTATCGGCTGAGACACGACTTCAAGGGGTGAAACCACCACTCGAAATTTCTATCTGAAATTTTGTTGTTATAAACAAATTATATTTTGGACAATTTGTTAGCACCATATTATTCTACATAAAAAACCGCAGACCTCGTCCATTAGAAGTTTTCATGTATCTCCTCTGGTTTTCGAGATACTACTTCCGGGTTGAAACTTTGAGGGGTGGTTTCACCCCCTAAATATGAAAACGGGCCGCTATAAAAACATACGTATCTCTTATTTTTCGGTCCTCTAAAACATATCCGAAAACCAAAGCAATCGGAGGCGGACACCTAAAATACACTCCTTGTTAGGCGATGCTTCAAATTTCTGTTTAAACTAATAGTTATGCATTACTTACAACTGGTAATAGCGATTTATTTAGATGTTCATGGACAACCCTTTATAAGATGTAACATGTTATAAATTTGTAAGATATATGTAGGTACATACATCAGTGCAAAAGTCAAAACTTTTAACCTAATCCAGAACTAACCCATTAAAATGGGTTTTGCGCTGAAAGACTAGACTAATACTAAATGTAATTATAGTTTGATAATAATTTAATGAGGTACATAATAATTCTTTTATAATATATGTACTTGTAATAAAACTTCTTATTATAAAGAATAAATTTTTTGATCCTTATTATGCAGTAAACTTATGCAATTAAATTAAATTTATAAATTTTTACAGTTTACCACAGAGTGCGTTTGATATAACAGCTTCTTCAAACAGATCACAAATGTTTTCTGCGCTGTTTGTAATATCTTCTCTATTGATTTTTGAATTTCTTCTGAGGAATTCACTTTCAATTTTATTTTACACAATAAGACTCACTCACTGGCGTCAATTTTTAACACAATTGTTTACTGTTTTTAAAAAACAGTAGTGATCACATCAGCAGAAGGTCCATCAAAATTTTTCCACTGACACAATATTACCCGTAAAAAGTACAAGACCATATTATGTACGTTGTAATAAACGATAGCAAAAAATGTACCTTTATAAAGTCTTTCAAAACTTGATGAAGGAACTACATAACTTATATACTTTTTAGTACCTACATATTTAAACGAAGTGATCTTAATTATTGTTGTGTCAATGAAGTAGTATTTACAAGAATTTAATAGGTAAAATGTATTTTTTTCCGGCTTTGCTTTGAATTTTCTATAAATTTAATCAAAAACCCTATGTGACCATTCATATTTAAAAACATTGATTGTGAGTATGTAATAATAAATACGTTAAGAAATATGTTATTTTTCACTTAGTCATTAATGTTTACAAATTAATGAAAACAAAATAACTGTCTTTCTTTATGGTAAATATACATATTATTGCTAATTAAAGGTCAATTCTTTTACAATCTGCTGTTCACCCCACTAAATATATAGTTACTCAACAATCAGCAGGTGCATTATCTATCTCCATTAATCCGTAGAAATTGATGATTAAAGATGAAGGAATACAAATTTTTTATGACAATTATTATTGTTTATTATCAGTTTTCACAAATATTTTTAATTAATTTCCCTAAAATTGAATTGATAGAAAATTTTGAATGTCGAATGGAAAGTTGGAAAAAATACATTTCCACTTCTACAATGTTTATAAATGTTATTAAGTTGTCACAGATTATAGACTCTCACGGAAATAAATACTGAATACAGTATTCCGTCGATCACTGTCTGACTGGTTCTACACGTTTTTTGTCAGGGCGTCATCCTCACCACTGGGGGTGGGGGAGACCGTGGAACCTCTCAAGTGAAACCCTCAAGTTTAGCAAAAAACAAATTTACGAGAGTCCGGAGTGTCTTTCCTGTTCGATGTTTGTCACGACGCGGACCCGAGTTCTTGACAATAATCGACGGAACACTGCACAACAGAAATATTAGGTTATTCTATAAGTAATGGGGGTTAAATAATTAATAAGGGTAATTCAGCAAGTTTTTCTTAGTAATCAATCATTAATGTATTTTCTACGTATGCGTCACTTTCACTTCTTTAACAGTCACTGACGCATTTTGTTTGGTAGTAACCCGTAAAATGTTTTCATGTAATTCTATAGAGCCTTTCGATGCGAGAGTCTTCATTAAGATCTGCTCGAAGTTTCATGAACTTTCTTTAGCACCAATTTACTTTAACAATAACTATATACCTACACTTGCAATATATTTTTCGTTGTTGCAGTCGTGTTAATTCCTTTGTTACACTCATACACCATGTCCATTTTAAACGTTTGTAATAACTGCATCATTTGGTTTACACCCCTGAATTTTTTATTGAAATATTGTCTGGAGGTATCTGTTTAAGATACAACTTGCACCAAGCAAATAAGTGACGATCATGTTGAATTATATGTATAGTTTTAAATTCAAGTCTGAGAAAAGTCGCATAACTTATTAAACATAATTATGTGGTACACCTAACATTTCAATGAAGTATGGATGCAAATGTACAGTCCCGTCCATAAGTCACTGGACACTTATGTTACCAAACGTAGAATCAGAAAGAGTTAAGAGTTAAAAAGGTACTTAAATTATGAATCAAACGGATTCTTATTAGTTTTCCACACTGTAGAGAAAGTGTAAATTATATTCAGTATTGTGAACAATCTTAAAGTGTTTGTTTCATTCAAGAATACTGATCGAAATGAATCGTAGCACT